AGGAGGAGGAGGAGGAGGAGGAGGAGGAGGAGGAGGAGAACTGTTTACTAATCATAGATCCAGCCACTAAATGGTCTACTGGCCTACTCATTGACTGGCAGGTGGACTGAGCCACTGACTATGTGACTATGTGTCTCCGCACGGTGGAATCAGATAATCGTCAGCTTTTTGGGCATGAGGAGAAATTGATTTAATCTGAAGGCCTGTTCATAATAATTTGTCTTGCTTTTGTCGATAAACATACTCGTCTGTCTTGAATAGAAGTCATGATAAGTTGCAACTGATACTGGTGGCATTTGCGTGGTATCAGGGGTAGTAATAGCAGGAAAATGGCCTCATAGTTTGGTGACTTCCAAAGCTTGAAAGCTATTGGCAACTGTAAATGTCGATGACACAGTTTTTATTGCAGACTCAGAAAGTAAATCTCTTCTAGATACTGTTATAACAGAAAGTGGACTTAAAGGATCATTGATGAATGTAAAGAAAGCAGAATGCATGGTAATATCCTAAAATGCAGCAAACCCTATTTGTAATCTCATTCATCATCATCCTGTGCCAGACCTGCGACAGACATCGGCGAAAATGGTTCACCATTCATTTCTTTGCTCGGGTGTTCTAAAAAAAAGCTACGTTTCCCTGATCTTTCCCTGTTACCCATTTGTTTAGGTTCCCTAAGTATGTTGTTCTGGGCCTTCCCCTGCCTCGCTTGCCCTCAATTTTGCCAGTGAGAGCTAGATGTTCAAGACCCTTATGTCTATTTATGTGGCCCAAAAACTGCATTTGTCGTTTCCTGATTGTTTTTAACATTGAGCGTCCCACGTGGGCTTCATCAAGCACTGCCTCATTTGACTTCTTTTCCATCCACGATACTCTTGGCAGTCTCCTGAGAAACCACATTTCTGTTGCTTCTATTTTATTTTCACTGTCTTTAGTGATTGTCCAGCATTCACAGCCATAGAGAAGGTTGACCAAACATAGCATTTTGGTGTTCTTTGAGATGTTTCTATTTTTCAGGATTGGGCTCATAAAAAACAAACAACTAGCCTTAGCCATTGTAATTCTCCGTCATATTTCTGTGGAACATTTGGCAGCAGATGTTATCTTGTATTCTAGATATTTAAACTGTTGCACTTGTTTGAATTTTTTCACATTTGCTAAAGAGATTACAACGAGGCTTTGCTGCTTTTTGGATATTACCATGCTTTCTGTTTTATTTACATTCAACAATAATCCTTTATGTTCACTTTCTGTTACAACAGTATCCAGAAGCAATTGAAGGTCCTTTTCTGAGCCTGCTATCAAAACTGTGTCATGTGCATACCTGATGTTATTAATCTTTTCCCCATTTACTTTGAGATCTGGACATTCTTCAATGTTTCTAAGGATTGTTTCACAGTACATGTTAAAGAGGTCTGGTGACATAACGCATCCTTGCCTCACTCATCGCCTAATCTGCTTATATTCACAGTATTCTCCATTAATTCGTACAGCATCGTTTTGGTTCCAGTACAGATTCCTGATAATTCTTAGACCTTTTCGATCTATGTCTAGCTTTTCCAGTATTTTAAATAGCTCATCATGTCCAACTTTATCGAACACCTTTGAATAATCTATGAAGCATAAATACAGATCTTTCTGTGCTTCAATACATCTTTCCATTAACATTGTTAAGGTGAATATAGCATTTCTGATGCCCTTGTTAGGAACAAAACCGAATTGCGTTTTTGATATCTTTGGTCTTACACCTTTTCTCAATCTTCCCATTATTACTCGCAGCAATATTTTTGTAAAACGACTCATAAGGCTAATTGTTCTATGCATATCACACTCGGTGGCACCTGGTGTTTTAGGTAAAGCTATAAAAACTGACTTCATCATATCTTCTGGGATCTCACCGCTGTCATCAATAGCATTTAGGAGCTTTGTTGTTATTTCAGTGCCTAGTTCTTCAAGCGCGACAATCATTTCAACTGGAATATCTCCTCCTTTTGATCTTATGCGTCCTGTATTTGAGCATCCTTTTATCCCACTTACTTCTTTTATTTTGGAATGCATGTACTTGCTGTCTTTGTTTTGGTTCTTCTCTATTTGTTGACACTGATCGTTTATCCATGTTTCTTTTCTTCGTTGCAATTTTTCTTTATTTCCCTGATTAAGATGATATACTTTTCCACATTAGATTTTGCCTTTCTTCTTTCTTCCACTAGTTTTAGTATGTCTTGGGTCATCCTTTTTTTATTAGCTTTTTTAGCATTCGGGGAATATTTTTTTCCACAGCTTCCTTTATTGAGTCTTTCATTTTCCTCCAGAGTTCTTTCGATTTAATA